AATAATAATAATAATAATAATAATAATAATAATACAAATATAGCAGGTGACTGTAAAATGTACTAGAGTCATAAATACATTGAAGTACCTGAAACCGAAGTGTGATACATCTAATTGTATATGGTATGCTTGATTCTTTATTTGCTTGTTATTTTGTATCTGTTAATCAGTTAAGATACATGGTTTTATCTCATAGCCCTAACATCTTAATTTTATGCTTATAAGCTGCAGCATTTTTCAAAACACATTACTCATACCCAAATATGCACTAATATTGCTAACCTCATGGAGAGTACAGCAATAATTTTCATTTTGAAAACTTAAATGAATCACTTCAACTTGCATACATCTAAATGTTTTCAGGTGTACTTTTTATTTTTTCCTTATAAATTTATGAACAGAATTTGTAGTGGGAGGGTGGAGGAAATGTGAAAGAACACACTGACAGGCAGTCCAAAAAGGATCTTAGATCAGCCAAAATAAAAAATAATAAAAATGATACCCATAATAATGATACCATAATACCCATAACCATAATGTAGTAAAGACAAGCAGTGGCACGCACACAGAGAGACTACACAGAATAACACCGGTACAGTACTAGATACAAGAAGTAGCCGCTGCAGCACTATAGACATAGGGTGAGTAACCCTGACATTTTTAAATTTTAAATTTGGAGGAAAATTGGAAAAGATTTAAAATTAGGACTGAAGATTTTACAAGTGCTAATTCAAAGAAATCAAAATTGACGTGTGTAAATAACAAAGACATCAAACAAATAAATTTTGGTAATAAAGACGAAAAGAACAATCAAGAAGACCTGTGTTTTTAAATTTTAAATGTTAAACTAAGAGCAGTGTGACAGATACATGAGTAATACACCTGATGATGGCCGTTTGTGGCCAAAACATGTAGTTTGTAAAGGAGAACAAAACGAAAGACCTATAATATATGGTTGCATTGAAGATGGAGTTGGTATCATGTATTGTATGGAGTGCAACAGGATGCTTAAATATAATAATGTTTCAATAAACATAATACGGGAGAGGATGGTGGTGGCAGTTATCACAAGGATGATGATAACGGTGACAATAATGACTGTTATGCTGTAAACATACAATATATTGGACTATTGTCTTTATCCTGGGTCCTAAGACCTTGTAATGGATTTGTGGCATGTAAATAAATGAAATGAAATGAATGAAAATGAATAATGTCTGTTATTGCCATGGGAACTGCCAGATGCTGGAGAAATTAGACACATTCTTTTGTCGAAGCAGTTTATGAGCATGTCTGTTGAAGATCTTCAGACCAAATACCCATTGGTAGGTAGCTTCAGCAGCTACAGTATAGATAGCAAAGAGAGCAAGCTTTAAAGAAAATTAACATAAATGCTTTAGTTCTTTAATTTAAATAAATTCTATACTAAATTAGTGTCATAATGACACACACATGCCAAGTCTATAACTGTGCTTCTTTTGAAATAGATTAATGTGTGTGCATGGTTTGAATGACATAGAAGGTCTGAAGTTGTACTGAGTTTAGGCTTTTAGCCTGAATAAGGAGGCAGCAAGTTCCTCCAAAAGACTGGTAGCTCCCTACCACATTGCATAGTGTTATAACCCAGAAGATGTCTGTCTAAATCTTCACTGCTGTAAAAACCTCAAGTCTCATACAGAGTTCAGGCTTTTTTGAGATACCTGTAAAATGCTGGGTTTCCATGGGCTGTTCTGAGTTCCTCTGTTGCACATTATTATATGAACAGACACACAGCTACAGCGAGTCTGTTAGATACGTATATTGGTTTGTGAAATGTGCTGACAGTACTTTGTTTAACAACAGTGCTAATAGTTTTAATCAAGTCCATGATGTGTATTTATGCTAACAGTCTTACAGTGCACACTTTTTATTTAATTTCAGTGCAACAGGAAGCTAAAATATAACAGTTTTAATCAAAGAAGCATAGCTCAGCAAAGGGCTAGCCTGTATTCAAAATCTACCTTACTGAACTTTCAGTAGGTGTATATATGTACAAGGTGGTTCAAATATGACCGGGACTGATTTTTTTTTAAACCAAAATTGCCAAACACTTACTTGCACATGTCAGTCTTCAATGTACTCCCCTCCGGAGTCAACACATTTTTTCCAACGTTCTGGAAGCATCCTGATGCCCTTTTCAAAAAGTCTTGTGGTTGGCGGCGTATCCACTCCCGAACATTCTGGATGATGGTGTCGTCCACAAACCACATGCCTTGCAAGTCTGATTTGAGCCTTCCGAACAGGTAGAAATCACTTGGTGCCAAATCCGGACTGTACGGTGGATGTGTCAGAAGGTTCCATTGTTTCCATTGTTGTTTTGGCCGTATGGGGGCATGCATTGTCTTGAAGGAAGGCTACCCACTTTCCACCTCTCTTCCGCTTGGATCGGAGCTTTTCCTTCACGTCTGTTGCCAGGAGGTCTGAGTAATAAGCTGCATTGACTGTTCTGGCATCTGTCAGAAAGTCTACATGGATAACCCCCTGCCAGTCCCAGAAGAATGTTGCCATCACTTTTTCTGCCAAACAGCTCCTCCGTGCTCTCTTGGGTTTGGGAGAACTGGTATGCCGCCACTCGTGTGATGATTGCTGGGACTCGGGAATGAAGTAGTGCACCCACGTTTCATCGGTGGTCACTATAGACTTCAAAAATGCCTCACCTTCATCTTGAAACTGCTGTAGGAGACGACTGGCAACTTGCATGTGCACCATTTTGTTTACGTCCGTCAAAGTGCGTGGTACCCACCGTGCATTCACCTTGCGATAGCGCAGGTGGTATTTCATGATGTCTTCTACACTACCAACACTGATGCACAGCATTGCTCCAAGTTCCTTGATAGTGATGCGCCTATTCTCACGAATAAGTGCGTCTGCACGATCAATGTTTGGCTTGGTGACGGATGTTTGCGGCTGACGATCATGCGGTTCATTCTCCACGCGCTCTCTGCCCTCTCTGAAGCACTTACACCACTCAAACACACGGGTCCCTGAGAGACACTCTTCCCCATACTGTTATTGGAGTCTGTGGTGAATTACAGTGGAAGGGACGTTTTCTCCAATGAGGAATTTGATCACAATGCGTTGTTCCACACTCCATGGTACCTTCTGTTCACTCATCACTCTAGCAACTTCCAGACAGGACTGAACAGGTTCCAACCCTAACAGGAGGGAGAGTGGAGGTTGTGGCTTCACTATCTCAGGGTCGCACAGCTGCTGCGCAGTGTGGCTTGTTTACAAAAAAATCAGTCCCGGTCATATTTGAACCACCTAGTTTATAAAGTTTTATGGCACTATTTAGAAGGTGAACTTACTTTTAATGTTGTGGCATGTAGACCCCTTGCTAGACAATGACTGCAAAACAAGCAACTATACAGCAGTTATTGCTAAGTAAAATCTCTGCAAGCAAGCATGATTCCATGGAAATGAGAGAAACACAGCAATAATGGAACAGACATTATTATAACAGAGGTGTTATAAAAATGACCAGTTAGAAGTTATAATCAGTTAGATAACCGCTGGAGTTCAGTCATGGTGAGCCGTTGGTGTTCGAATCTAGTAGCTGAGGCTGGGAACAGCTTTGAAACACAAAATAAGGGGAACATCCACTGTTGGAAGCTGCTACCAAGCAACGGCATTGAAGGCATGACTGTGGACACTAGTGTGTATGTGTAATAATGAGCTGTAAGTTGTTATCATGTGATGTAGTCATCAATTCAGAACCCTCCTATAGTCACACTCCGTCACATGATGATATGTTGTAATAAGGCCCCATGTATGTTCCTCTCCTTTTGCTAGATGTTAGTCACATCCTTAATTTATATACACAAACTTACAGGGGATGGACAAAAATATGGAAACACCTCGTGAAATGCATGCCTGAATTGAAGTGTTTATTTTAGCGATGTTTGTAGGTCAGGCTGTCATATCTGCCCAACACCATTGCCCATACAAACTCCGCAATACATTGCAAGCTTCATTTGTTGTCGAGACAATGTTCTGTGCAATTTTTTGTGCATCACGTCAGAGCTAACAGAATTCGAATGTGGGCAAATTGTTGGGGCCCATATGGTGGGTGCTTCCATAATCAAGGTAGCCAAGGTTTTTGGTGTTTGCGAGGCACAGTATCCAAGATTATGACCGCATACAAGAGAACTGAGAAAAACCGCATCCGATACACACCAGCGTGGACGGAAATGTGTGTTGAGTGATCGAGACAGACGGACATTGCGTAGGATTGTGATTAAAAAGTAAGAAGACTACAGCTGCAAAAGTGACTGCTGAACTGAATGTCACACTCACAAATCCTGTCAGCACCAAAACAGTATGAAGGGAACTCCACAAACAGGGTGTTTCTGGACGAGCTGCAATTCCAAAGCCACTCATCAATGATCAAAATGCCACTAAGAAGACAGTGTGGTGCCAGAGTCATAAAACCTGGACTATGGAGCAATGGAAGATAGTTATTTGGTCAGATGAGTCCACCTTCACACTGTTTCCGACTTCTGGCAGAGTTTACATCTGGAGAACGCCATCCCAAGCTTACAATCCAAATTGTTTGCTGCCAAGAGTGAAACATGGCAGGGGTTCAATCATGGTATGGGCAGCCATATTGTGGTATTCTGTTGGACCCATCATTACCCTGCAAGGTCACGTCACTGCCAACGACTATGTGACCATTTTGGGCGACCAGGTCCATCCCATGGTGCAAACTTTGTTCCCTAATGGTGATGCCATTTACCAAGCCAACAATGCCTGTGTTCACATAGCTCACATCGTCCAGGACTGGTTTTCTGAGAATGAAGATGAAGTGTCATGTCTGCCATGGCCCCCACAATCACCAGATATCAAGATTTATGAGCCTTTGTGGTCTGTTTTGGAGAGCAATCTGCATGCGTGCTATCCACCTCCATCATCGATAACAGAACTTACCATGTTTTTCAGGAAGAATGGTACAAGATTCCCTTGCAAATCATACAGGACCTCTATTTATCCATTCCAAGGAGACTGCAAGAAGTTCTGCAAGCCAGAGGTTGTCCTACACCATATTAGTCATGGTAATGTGTTTTTTGTTGGGTGTTTCCATATTTTTGTCCATCCCCCGTAAGCTGAACTTATAATTTAAATTAAAATTTAAATTGAAGTTATAATTTGAACTTAACTTTTACCTATAACTGAAAGAAGATCTAGAAACTGTAGCTCTATTCACAACTGTCATGAGCATGTATAGTGCATAAACTTGCATATTGCATGGATGTACCTAATGATGCTTGCATGACGATCAAAACATCTTGTGCCAATGTAGTGCCAACAAATATGCAGTAATGATGTGAATAATTAAATAAAATCACACATTCTTAGTACATCACAAGAATTGTGCATACAGAAGGATTGAAACACAATACTATTTGAAAATGGAGGCTTATGTTCCTCTGAAATGTTAGTAACCAGCTATGAGACTACAGCATAGTGGCATAATTCAGAAGACCATAATATGAACCTTCACCACCATGAAAAAAATCTTACACAATAATGAAATTAATAGGCATAACTAATTGAGTTGCACTGTAAAGTTTCTCAAGTCCTTGATCCAAAGATATTTGCTGTTCTTAATTTTTTATATATCCATCTGCAGGTAGACTGGAAGACACTTCTAAGTGCACTGGTGGGTCATACTGTTAGACCAGACACAACCATCCAGCTCTACTTTGAAAACTACTTTGACAGTCTCTTCATTAAACTCAGTGAAGTATTCAATGCAGACAACAAAAATAGGTATAATACTTTTAGATTTCCCTGCAGCCATATTAAGGATGCCTGTCAGAGAATAACATATAAGGGCTGACTTTTTTCTTAAACTTCCTCTTCCTCTCCTTCTCCTCCATGTCAATTTGTTTCCAATTTATATATGTCAATACATAAAAAATCTCCGGTCTCTTCTAACTTCCCGGTCTTCCCTTCTCAATTTTGCCAATTCTTTTCTCTCCTCTTTATACTATCTACAACCTACAACATACATTCCATAGGTCTCTTTACTTTCAAATTTATTTGTAATTCCCTTTTCAGTTTCTCTAGTCGATGTTTTTTTTAGATGGATAAACACTTGTAGTTGTTTCTCTTCCAACTCTGTAAAAGAAATCTTGAGTTACACTTCTTGTTCAAAAATTTCTTTCCTACTTCATGTCCATTCTTTGGACTTGTATGAAACCTAAAATCACATTATAGTTTTAAAGTGGTTCATGTTACCATTAAATTTGGATCATAAAATGAAAATAAAAACATGTGCTTAAGCAAGGATCGTTTTAATTAGAACTGATCTTAATATAAATTATAATATTGATTTTGTTATGAAGATAAATCAATAATGGTTTCAAAATGTGAATCTAGCAGTGAAACAAAAGACCTAAAGCCATAAGGCCAACTGCCTCAATGTGGCCTATGATCTGTTAGAAGATGTGTTGTCAGCTTAGTAACTTATGTTTATCTACAAAATGAACATGTACATGTACTTCTTGCAGTATTTTCATATTATCTGTGTGTGGATCTGGTGAAGACACAGAGCCCCTGTAATCATGATGATGGGCAGTTGTGTGTTGGAAGATAATTTGTTTACAGAATGAACATGCAGAGTGCGCCACTTGCAGTGTTTCCACGTGACCTGTATATGGATCTGATAGACACAGCTAGAAGATGTGTTGTTTGCACTGTAATTTATATTTTGTCTACAGGATGAACATGCACAATGCACTGCTTGCAATGTTTGCACATGACCTGCATGTGGATCTGGTGGAGACAAGGAGCCCATGCAACCGTGAAGACTACTGCCTCAGGGTGGCCAGTGGTCTGCTGGAAGATGTGTCATCTGCACTGTACCTTTCCACTTTCACAAGGGAGGAGTTGAATGCCATGGAGTTAGAACTTCAGACACTCTTTACCCAGTTGAAGTTTACCCTCCAGGAGCAGTTTCAAGATGTTAAATGGCTGGATGATTCTTCACGCTCATATCTCACCAGCAAGCTGCAACAGTTGGTTCCAGTCACTGATGGAGGCAGAGTTTTCCTGGGTGACTCCTACCTGCTCAATGAACGGCTGTCAGAAGTTGATATGAATATTTCCAATAGTTACCTCCAGAATGCAGTGCAGTTGATGGGTCGGTACAGAAGCAGCATGTATTCCTTGTTCAGTAATGAACCGAACTTAACAGACACCATGTAAGTATTTATTTCCTCTTTTCCTGAAAATCAGTATTCATTATGAACTTTTTAACTTTTACCTGGGATGGAAAAATTTGTTTTTTCTTTTCTAAAAATATATACTCAGTATGAATCTGGAAACTTCTACTTGGGATGAAGTATTATTTGATAAGATCATAAATCTAGTAAACACCTGTCCAAGTGGTGTCTTGCAGTTACTAAATTACTGATACTTTATAACTGTGCAGAATGTCTCAAATTGTGGCTGTGAGTACAGGTAGTTCTAGATTTTTGCAACTAAATTTTATTTTTCCTACATTGTTACAAATACTCCTGAGTGTCATTTTCTTCCTTCAGATGCTCTTTTGCTCCTTTTTCTTCTGATTCTTTATTGCCACTGACAGGGTTATTCTTACCTTTTATGCTTGTTATTGTCAAATGATTGAATTAATATAGGCTGGGTTTGGATTGGTAATCAGATTTATTGCACACTTATGCAACTCAGTACTACACTTCTCAAATCGCTATAGGACACACTAGGTCTTCTCAGCTTGCTGTGTCCTCACCAGCTGTTGCCTGGTGATGGATCTCAACAATGTCCTCTGCGTCCATGTTCACTTTCTTTCTAGCTGGCAACTTTCTCACAACTAACTCATGGCTCCAAATGTTGACTCTCAGAGAGAGTTACTTTATGACTAGTGGTTTGCTGTCAATCAGTCTATCTTGCCTAGCAACTGGTTTACATGCCACAATATTATTGAATTATTTTAGAGGTTAATAATTAACTAAAACTCAAAATTGCAGAAGAATACTACTGACCAGAGATACTCAAATGGTAACATGGAAATACTGTACTGAAGGCTTCCTTATCCCCTTATAGAGTGTCAGCAGTTGATGCACAGAAGAGGTTGCATGGCTGAACCAAATTTTCCATTCTCCCCTCACATTCCTCATCTACCACCCATACAATATGCCAGTCCCATCATCATCATCATCATCATCATCATCATCATCAGTAATCTGTCAAGATGACAGGTCCACAGTCTCTTCCAAAACAATTCCTCCACTTAATGCGATCTAGAGCTTTCTCCTTCAAATGACAGTATCCTCTTCTGTCCCCAAGGTCATCCCGCATCTTCTTACGTCTTCTTCCTCGTCTTCTTGTCACTTCTATCCACCCATCTATCTTTCCTTCGATAACTTCTTTTAGAAGGCAGTTTCTGCATAAAACATGACCAATCCAATTAGCCTTCCGTTTTCTTATTTCGTGTAGGATATTCCTCTGCTCACTGACTCTAATTAACACTTCTTCATTTCTCACATAATCGGTCCAACTGATCTTCTCCATCCTTCTCCAACACCACATTTCGAAACTTTCCAGATGTTTCTGATCTACTGCCCTAAGTGTCCATGTTTCAGCCCCATACAGAGCTATG